CAATTGGGTTTGAACGAGTCCGGATCTACACGCTGCGCTATGGATGTCAACAATGTCAGACAGTAAAAATAAGGATTTGGCGAACACCAATTAATTCCAGTTAAGATTTACTAGAGCTTATCTACGATCCTAACGTTACGACACAATATTCAATTGTATTGCCTGACGTTTCTGTATAATAGTCGTATGACGTAGAGCGTTTGTTTTTTCAAGAGAACGTAAATGATGTACTATGATTAGTAGCATCGCCGATTTATTGGCGGTGCGAGAAAAAACCGTTGAGCCTGGCTTCAGCACAATTTTGTCAAGCTCACTTCCGTTTCGAGCAAGTCGCTCTATTTAAACCATCCCAATAGTGAGCAAAAATAGTTAAAATTATGTCAAGTGGCAATACGCTGCCTTTATTTCATACGATACTTAGCAAGCTAGAATTTAGAAGTCTGACAATGTTGCTTGCATGCACCGGACCGGTTTAAACGCTTCGAATCTATATGCGAACAGGGATTAATGATCCTGCCAAAGGACTTTTTGCTTATGCCAAGAGAAATGCTAGCATTCTATCGCTTTTGTAAATCATAACTTTGCTGAGAGGACTATTATCAGGCCCATCTAACGGACGCTCGAAATAGCAGCAGCAGCAGCAGCAGCAACGTTTGTCCTGTCGAAGGTCACTGGACAGCAGGACATCTATGCAGTGTCATTCGCATACTCTTTTTTACCACTACTTTGGCATGCTTCCCACAGATGGCGTAACTGTCCGCTATTAAGGCCGAATGCTAAGGTTCACTTCTGAAAGTAACCACTGGCTGGAATAACGACGACTTGCACACACTGAAAGCTTGCAGCGCCAATTATCGGCTATCTACCGATTATGACGTTGGTAGTGTTATGTCCTACAAGTTCGCGACTCACCGTTAGAAGAGCAGATCGGCATTTTTTGGACTTATTGTACTGGTGTTTATGACGCCGACGTGATACTATCAAAGTTGTAGCGGGCGTCCTTTTTTTTATTTATGTTTTCAAGTCGTTTGTCGTGCTAAGTTTGTAATACATAACAGTCTGATACGATAATGAGCTTATTCTCAGATGCGTTCGTTTGTTTACGTATTTGAATGTTTAGGATATCTGATGTGACATACATTCTACTTGCACGTACAAGATCTGCTTATGGATTGTAGCAAGCAGATGTATAAACTGAGTACACTACCTATCGAATCAATTTTGTCTCTCTCACTAAATACAGGAATATGGCGGCTGCTTGATTGTTGTCCTTTCAGTAAATAAATCTGGCCGGCTAGAAGCAAGCAGGTTAGGTTCCGACTAAGCATCAGGGAATGGTTTGCAGTAAAAAGATGACGACTTTTTTTCACCGGACCTATCATGGTAAAAAACGCGTCGTGAAGGGTCGCAGGAAGTCGGTAGATCTATGTTCTACTGCAAACGCATTCTCAAAAAATGAGATCTCAAACAGTTATGAGTACTACGAAAATCTAAGATATAACGTAGGTCAAATTACTAGTAGAGGGTTGTATCTCGGCTAACGGATATGGCCTAAGTCTTATATTTAGTTTGTTTATTTAGCGAATCCTATAAATTAGCAAGCGTCCCAGCAATGAGTGGAGCCAACCAAAGTTACAGGATCATCGAGTGTGCTTGCAGAGAGAATATTTTGTGTTTGTCTACATCATGAGATACCGTACAGCCATTTTCAACCTACTCTATTAACGGTAATTCTTAATTATGACGCCTTCTGAAGTCACTTCAATCGGAGTACCACACCAATTCAGTTTATCTTAGTTGATAAAACCTCCTGCTTTGCTCAGGAGGCACCTATACCAGCCGATATTAGTGTCATACCACTGTGATAATCTTCACAAAAATCTGTTTACACAAATCGAATCTTCGTGTTACACTTCAGTTGTAATACGAAGATTCGATTTGGGCAATCGAGCAGCATTTTATTCAACGGACTGCTTTTAATTGTGCGTTATGCCAGTGTCTTATGGGACGTTTCAAGTTCATGGCATGCTAATGATTTTCCATGGGGGGAATTAGCTAGGCGCTGCAATCTCTTCTGACGAGTAAAGCGAGCTTCTCGGTAAAAGGTCATCTTCGGTACTTCTGAACGATAATCCAGTTTCGAATGATGGTTTGGGTTCAAGCCGCCAAAAATCTCCACGCTACTACAGTTCTAATCGATACCCCTTATCCAATTTTCCTGACCAGAAGATCTAACTGAACCACTCGAGCACACTCTACTATTATTATATTAGCGTTGTGTGTCTGTATCAAGAAAATGTTGCTCAGAACCTATAAAGTAGTCTACAAATGGCCATCGAAGACTCCAGAAGTGCTGTAGAGGAATCAGTAAAAGCTATCTATTTAGCTAAGCACTGCTAGCTTTGACCCGATATGAAGAGCAATTGCATTGAGCCTGACTCGAGCGAGCTTCCGATCTGACATGGTCCAGTATGTCTCTCTTGAAAAAAGTTATTATATTGCTGACCTCTGGATATTACTGAATATACCTTGAGATAAAACAGCTTGTATAATGAAGCTTATGCTTTTTACAGCGCACTCACTTTGAGTAGATCGATCGTTTTGAATCGTTGTATCAGCAGCATCGATACACGCGTTCCATTCTTTTCCCTGTTAGGCGTAAACGCAGATGCGTCTGTAATGGTGCTGGTGCTTCGCGGCATTGCTTGCTCAAAGCAGCCGCAAGGCTAAACTGCTCTGGTGAATTGGGCGTCTTCCCTACACGGGCCATCATCACCGGGCAGGCAAACTCGACCTACATTTTCATTTTGCACTGCATCAGTCAGGTCCGCGTAGGACATACCAATTGACAGCTCTGCTTTAAACGCTACAACGAGAGAGAATGGAGGTAACATTTCGAATCCGTGAAGATTAAATGCGATCATTAAATCCCATTTCTCTATGCTTTCTAATTACGATTTATCTCAATTTTGTTGATATTAACGCGTTAGCAAGTGACTCGGACTACAAGGAAGTGTTTGAGCTTAATAAAACCCAATGTGCTTTAGCATGTATGAGTTACGCCTATTGTCCTCTGTACCTTAACATGTACAAAAATAAATCGTTTCCCGCGAGTCTGTCAAATCGACCCTTGGCTCCTGCAAGGCAAAACACAAATTCATAACTAGAGAAAGAAACTCTGTCCTCTATCTGTACGAGATATGCTATATGCACATCTTTTTGTATTGTACCATGTATTGTATGTATCTTTTTGTACCAATGTTTGAAAGGCCTCGACTCCGATAAACTGACTTTATTCCGCCAAGATAATTATCCATTAATACTTGATTTCTCTTCTACACGTCACTCTTTTAGTTCTGTTCTGAGATCCATTGTTACCTCCAGTAAAATCGTCTCTAACATTGAAGTAAACGCATTCAGATATGTCATAATTCCTACGCACCAGCTACCTTCTTTGTTAGAAGGAGTTTTCGGGATCGCCTTTTTAGTATAGCACTGAAGTGTTTCCCTATTCCCAAGGTGGCTTCCGCTGCACGTAACTGGGTCTATGTGTTTTTCAAGCATAGTTTACAGTTTCTTTGTATCGGGAATTCAAACCAATGTAACTGCGATAGTAAATTACTCAAACACGTCCGTATTAGCTACTCAGACCACGCCGCCTTTCCTTCGCCAACCATGCCTGGGCTTGAGGTTCTTTTCGATGTCGTTGGTCGCCAAACTTGACGATCCCTTATGAATGACCTTAATAATAAATAAAACTTCACTTGATGAGGCAGTTCACGGTATGGCAAAAACAATGATACACATATTGTTTCGATTTGGCACATGTTTGGTGCCAATAACAGCTCCTTCCAGACTGGAATTATGGAAATGATAGTATATATTGAAGCATATATGAAAAGTAACTTCAAAAATTATCTTGGAAGGTTCACGTAAGCTATACTTCAATGTTTTTATATTGCGCGATTGTTGTTCATCCGTCTGTAAAAGCGTATCCTTACGCTTTCCATACGTCACCACTTAAAAGATCGATAAGAGGGCAGGAACTTCAGATCGCTGAACTTCTATAAGCAGATTTTTAAACTATTTAAACCGATGTATTGTAAATCATTAACTTCATGAAAAAATGCAGGCATTTACAAGATCGTGATTCAAAAAGAGACTTAGTCTGAGGCATTAGAAAATAAAGCATTTTAAGTTTGTTACACATATGTATGTTCTTATTTAGGCCCAAAATATCGAACCATAGTTTAGCGACTTCTAGTTGAACATTTTATATCCGACTATATGTCGAAGAGACATCTGACAGATCTGAAGATTTCTAGAAAAATGCAATCACACAAAAACGCTGCTGTGGAACGGGTTTCGGCTTAAGTAAGTCCGATTTATCTCACGGCCAACTTTAACCGTTGTATTTGTAGCAATATTGCTCCACCGGTTAATGATAGGCTTCGGTTCGGCTTTGGAGATATAATTACGATCGCCGTTGAGCTGTCCTTTGTTTCGGCATGCGCAAGGGTCCCGGGAAGATATGAATCCGTCTAGATAGAATAGAGAATTCAGATGAATTTGACTGAACAGACGAAGAATGGAGAGCGAGCGTATTCGTATGTAAGAAGCATAGCACGCCGGTGCGCTTGTGGCTGGAAGTCTTAATAACCTGATATGAAAAGTCACATGATCAAGACAGAAAACGATGCAGGCGTCTGAGTATCGTATACGTTCTATTTCCGCCTATGCCAAATACAAGCCCGCAAGTGGCTTCACGTAATGTCACATAACCAAGCATTCTCAATTTCTGAGTGTATTGAAAATGTACTAGATAGGTCTACAGAGCAGGCGCTAGATCTGGTCGTATGTTAACGAAAAACAAAGCAGATCAAACGATTCTTATTTTATTAGTTTGGAGTAACTTATAAATGGTACCAATAACGCTGACTTTGTGGTAAGACGAGCAAAGTCTGTTTTAGGCTAATCTGATCATAAAAACAATTGACTCAAGTTTATTGCCTTTCATTTACATACAGTACATAGCACGGTTATAAATTACTATTTTTTTACTTAGAATATTTTTTTATTTTGCATTAGTGTGCGGAACAGCGGACCATATGCAACTGGTGCTTCAGAGCACCAGTTGCGTATTAAGGATCACCAAGCCCAAGTTAGATGGCATAGGCAAATACGACGTGGACATTTTGAGCTTTATCCTTACAGTGGTCAGCACTACAAAGCCTTTGCCGGTCCTATGGACGATCTGTGGAGTGGCATTGTCTGGGTTTGTTTCGTACCGTTGTTCGAGACATACCTAGATAGGGGCATACTGACGATTCATGCTCTCTTAGGGGCTCCTTTGCGCTTATGATTAGTTCTTCCACGCGACGCTGATTGGAGTAGTTCCATCCAGGTAGTGCTATGTTGTTGTTGGTCTGACCAGTCGTTTTCGTACCTACTGCCTTCAGCGTGTCCGGCACTTAACGAAACAAGAATCGTTATTACAAGAATTACATTAGGACGTTCGCAGTAACTTTTCGGTCGCGTACGGCTATCGTATAGTATTACATTTGTTAACAACTTGATTTTTTTTTGATGAGTGATGTGTTGTTGAAATTGAGTGTTGTTCTTGCATAGTAAATATGCGAAATAAACACATTTGTAATCGACAGGAGATTTTTAAAACAGGCGGATATTTCAGCTGAGTAAATTCTAATTAACTGGCAGATCTTAGTCTGGCAATAGCTTTGTGGAGCCAGTCTTGTTCGATTGAAGGTGAGGCTACAATCAATGTGTTGTAATATATATAGAAGCAGTTAGCGGTATGTATGTATAGATATATTTAATCATTTCATTATCTTATTACAGAACGCCCACAAAGAACCAAACAGGGAAACGTATCCTGCTATTAGTTGTTAAGCGGTGCGCTTCGCCAACACTCGATCAACGCTTCGGTAATTTTTTTAACAAAACAATAACGTATTATGTGTATGGAGTATTCTAGTCAATCGCCACATGCAAACTGGTATACCAGCACAAATACGGCCCGCTTTGGTACCCGGCCAGAGAGATCCGTCGATTATCCCAATGTTATTGGGATACCGAAACGCTGTGATGAGCCGTTCGCAATACGCTTTCGTGAGCGTCTACTTGTTTTTCTGTTACAAACTTTACATGATGTAAAGTCGTCAGGTTATTAAATTATAAATCTGTTTGAAAATACGCTATCGGTTTAGCGAATCTGTTTATAATATGCGTTGGCTGTACACGCGTAATGAAATTCTATAAAAACGAAGTTTCATAGTAATAGAAATGAACGGTCGATATTGTAAACGAGGTTGAATGTTTTTGATTAAGCGACAATTAAGAGACCTAGGAGTCAAAAGTCCGTTGAAGCCACTGGCTAGGTAAGCCCAAAGAAAGTAAAATAACAGTCGGAAGAGTTTTTAATCGCTGTTTTATACCAAATTGTTATTATATTGTAATTATATTGAACAATCAAAACAATAATGATTGTCTACCAGCCAAGAAATATTACTAATACGCAATCTATCAGTAGTGTTCTTTTCTAGCAACACCCTAATTCTATCACTGTAGAACGTCGGTGATCTTGTGAACAAAAAAAACTGTGACAAGTGATTCTTGCGGCCCTTCCTGACGACAATTAAATCGACGCCAGTAGAAGAGTTCTGCGAAGACCGAAACAGATGATAGGTTGCCAGTGCCAAGTTCGCGCTATACGGAAGACGTATTGAGAATTGCGACCGAAGTTCTGAAACAAATACAGTGCATATCGATGCAGTCGTGCCCTTTATAGATTCCTATCGTTATATTATTTAAATGCCCTATTATATACTGATTTGTTTGGCCCTTTGTCTTTCATTACAGTTGCAAGTTCGCTAAATATAGTAAGGGTTACTGAATGCAGTAGCGCAATCTGGGCAAGAATATAATTAGTAAAATGTTGCTTAAGAATGCCAAACTTTTAAAATAATAGAAAAATAACAGCTTTGCTGGGCAAAATCAACGAATCAAATGAAATGTGTTTCGTGTAAGCAAAAATTAGAATGAAACACCCAACTGAAGTCAACCCGCCCTAAACTAAAACGATCATTCATTTTACGTTGCGTTGTATAAACGTAATGTACCAAGATATGTTGGTAATATCCTACTTCCCTAATATTAATTAAAAATTGTTCATGTAGGATATAGGATCTTCATTCATTCATTCATTCAACTTACGCTTAGATAATGAAGTATTGTTACTGCTAACGCAAGAGATCTTCGCAATGTTTCATGTGCATCACTTCACTGAAACCTAGTGGCTTATATTAGATATATATATATATATATATAATATCTAATATAAGCCACTAGGTTTCAGTGAAGTGATGCACATGAAACATTGCGAAGATCTCTATATATATATATATTATTATATTATATAGTGGCTTATAGTAGAGTATATAACCCCACCGTGTTGCCATGCAATAACTTTCCCTGGGATCTGCAGTTGCGGTTTCAGTAGCGATGTGTCGCTCGGCCATAACCGTGCACGGATTCTTTCGAACACCTTCAAATACGAAGTGAAATGTCACTACGATTGCGGCAGGCCAATATATAGGTCCACAGAGGCTCAGAGACGTTCACTACACTGAAAGAAAACCCTATGGCAAAGGAAATGCCGTCGTTCAACAAATCCTCTTTTTTCTAACACGATCGCATAAACAGTAGCAATCCTATTGGTAGTTCTCGAACTATAAACATCTGGCGTTTCAATTTGCAACGACACCGCTATTATATTTAAATAAACTTTTCCCACACCCGATATTCATTCTGACGATTAAGACGCACAAACTTTAGCTGGTGACCCCCAGCCGTTATACACATTATCAAATTGACGCTGATCTAATATTCGTCATGATTGACAAAACTACCGCAGAGTTTGACAACCAAATATGGCATAATGTGTTCGATAAATATTTATAATATGGTGTCGTAAACTATATGCAATAGATAACTATATTCGACGGCCGATGGACACTTGGCAGAAAGCGTGATCCTATAGGAACAAGCCACCGAAACAGCGGGTCACATGACCAAAACAAAAAGTAAAAACGAAAAATAAATGAACAATTTACAAAATTTTTCTATGCAATGTAGTAATGCTGCCCTGACTGTGTTATTTCTATATAGATGCTACAGCGGCATGGCCCGCGCTGCGCGATGTCAAAACAACCTTCTATATTGGGACTATTCACCATGAAGCTTCTCTCGCAAGCGAAGCGATCATCAATCATCGCACACAAATCATAGTGTTTCGATCTATACAGCTTATAATGTGTGATTAAATTTCCACTTACTTCGCTGTGCTTACACACTGAAACTTAAACCAATTCAACTTACTTCAGGCAATTTAACTGGTTTGTTTTGATGTGACGTCACCGGCCGAAATACACGTATTCGTTGTTCCGACACCAAGGGTTGACTTGAAATTCATTTTTAAAGACTAGACTGTGTCCGTGAGTGTGCGTATGTAATAGATGTGCCTTAAACGAATCGACAAATCCTATGATAAATCGTAACGCTCCCATCGAAACTCTATAGTCGATTCTCGGAGGTAAGTTAGTGTCTAGACGCTTTTTGAGCATGCAGCCAGATCAATTTGGGAAAAATAACAGTCACAATAGATTTTCTGCATTGTTAGTGTCTCTTCTTGCCAAATACGAACTGCCAAAATTTAAGTTTAAGCACTTCGTTTTAGTTTATCTCAAAACAGACCAGCTTGTCGTGCCCGAAACTGAAACCTATCATTTCGTATAACGCTGTAGTAATGGTTGAATAAGTAACAAAAAAAAAATTGCACAAATCCCATGAACGATCCTCGTATGTATCTTCGAGAAAAAAGCTGCATGGAAGTGCTGGCAATAAGCGAATTGTTATTTAGAACGAACTGCCAATCGACAATCGGAAAATAGTTTAGATCGAACGGATATAAAACGAGTTTATGAAGATAGCCTGAGTTACTGTTGAGCTGGCTGTAGGACACAATCGAGGAAGCCTAAATTTAGCTACTGCATTTCCATCGCGGTGAACCTCCATTTATCGATAAGAATTTGTCAATGCGAAAGGCGTATTCAACATTGATATCGAATCTCCTAAACAGAGCTGACATCGTTGAGGTTCAGTATAAATAGCAGGTTGAAGGGTTGCTTCAAAATTTATTATAGTGTTAGGATAGCGCTCTACCAGGAAGTGCACGCATAGTACAAATTGGTGCGCGTATAAAGTAACGTTGCGTATAATACATGGGTAAACACAAAACTAAAAGTGTTTCAATTCGACGGGAACAATTAGCGGTGCTCTATTAATATATCTTGACTGACTATTTCGTTACGCTATCGAACCATAGTCTGCGGTGAGATGATGGAATGTCCTAACCATTAATCGTACCCCTTCCTAGCACGATTAAGATCCTGTTCCACCTGTGGTAAATTCATAACTAATTAAGGGTAAGCTGAAAATGCCTGAGCAAGTGTTGTGTAGCATTAAAATAGAGGACACATAAATTTCGTAAGATATTATAGTCACCAGTTCGTAAAAAATTATGTTCAACTTGATTTGAGGAAGTCATATAAGGCGACTCACCGCTATTGTGTGACGTTGAATTTTCGCATGACTTACGCATGAATCAGCAGAGTCTCCGAATCTCAGTACTGGGTTTCTCGTATCACGAAGCAGAGATAGCGCATGCTTTATCATCACTCGTACGGAATGCTCTATGACAGACTACTAGCGAAATGTGTGCTTGCTGTTACTTACTATGACACGGTAGTTCCTTATTGTTGTCATTTGTATCATTACTGTCGTCCTGATCAAAGTGATTTTTTTTTGTCATTTCATAGTCTACCGATCATTGTTACACTCTCGACTAAACACATACAAATTAATTGCAAAAACCGGGATGCAGATATATGCGGGACTGAGAACCAATGCGGTAGTGGGAGAACATCGGTTCTCTAGACGCTTGAATATATTTACATTTTCTGATAACAATTGAGGAACCTTTGCTTCTTGGCTGAATGATTAATTTCTGTAGAAGATATTTGTTCATATTGATAACTTTCTACCAATAGGTTTTGTTCACTGCAGCAGTTTGTATCGACTAAGCGACGTGGCGACGTTTGATCGGTGTATAATATTAATGATCATGGTATAATGTATTAATTCAACCTTCTAATCGTGATTTTTTTCGTACTGGTTGCAGGAGCTATTACGATGGGTGAAATCGCGGATTGGTTCCGCAGCTTGCCCCTGTTAACAAGATATTGGTTTGGATTATCTATTGTTTTTCCCGTGCTCGGCCGGTTCAAGATTATCAGCCCGTACCACCTAATCTTCATCTATAACAATGTCTTTAAGAAGTTCCAGGTGACTGGGAGATTTATGAGTTGCTTGAGTAGGAATTGTTAGCCTGATGACGGCTCGTGAGATCTGGGGATTTTTTGTGCAGTTGAAAAGCACCTTTTCGTCCTGATCTAGAAACGTAACTCGACGTCTCTTTCTGTATGCGCGAAATTTCAAGCTGTAATGCGTTGGGTAGCCAGCGTTCTAAATGCTGTTGCCGTTGTTGAGCCTAAAGAATTAGTTGCTCGACAGTTTTTTTTAATGCAGAAGATCCAACAGGTTACTCGAAGTAAATGCCCATCAAAATAGTCCATGGACGTTAGAAGAATGTTTAAAAAAAGTGACCAGGGCGAAGTCAGACAAGTTCAACTCTCTAGCTAAGCCGACAATTAACTGAAATATATGCCGAGATATTAGACAATGCTTTTTGACCATTTCGAGCCCTAAATAGTGTGAGCTTCGATGGCAGTACACTTCTGGTACAGCTTAGCACTGTAACTAATATAACGGTTATCGTGTTCCTACGTCGTTGAACGTGAATCAGTATTCTTGCTGGATTTCATAGGTAGCGGCGAATCCTTGACGATCATTCATAACTTTCAGTAGTTCGGACAACAACAATTACAGCAAACAAGTCTCCCAGTCTTCGCTCATGAGCAATGTTGATTTTTCCATCATTTCTCTGACTTACATTTTTTATATTTATTTATTCGTATATAGTCAGCTTTAAGATAAAAACTAGTCAAATTCGTAATTAAAAAAGCTATACACCGAAAGTACCTAGCTTATATAGCATATGTGGTACGTTCAGGAAAATTTTATATAAAAGAGCTATGCTAACAATGTCAGAAGGGTCTTTACGGCAGGCCAAGGTCTCTAGGTTTCTAATGAGGCTATATGGGGGATGGGAGATCGCGTCTCAATTCGTAAAAAATAATCAGCAATTTCGTTAACATGTCGCCTTCGGTGGACGTTATCATTCTGTATTTCAGATATGGCGGCCATTTACAGCGGTGTTTTTCTATCCGATGGGGCTTCACTACCTCGTAAATCTCTATTTTCTATATTCATATTCAATGCGACTCGAGACATCGGCTTACAACGGACGACCGGCAGAATACCTATTCATGCTTCTGTTTAACTTCATCTGCATTCTAATCGTAGCTGTCTTCAGTGAGATCCAAGTAAGGAAAACATACACGGGTTTTATTGTAGAAATTAGCGAGTATTCCTCTGCGGAAGCGATACCGCTTTGGTTAGGAGTAATAACCTTTTATATAATTTTTATATACTTGTGAACCCTCTTTTTGCGATAGGAATAATACTCGTATGCTGGGCTGATATTTAAATATATTAGCCACCATATTTGACTTTTCGACATGCTTTTGAATATATAATTAATCTTAGTACAACAGCACCATATCAGGGTTAATAAATATATAGATCCTATTACTCGCTAATCTTCTGTCATTCTCATCCGTTCCACTCACAGTAAATAATACATCTATAATCTGTTTTTAGGCATTTCACTAATGAAATGAATACTATTTTTTTATAGAGTTATTTGGCAACATATTAACTATTTAACTTTAATCAACATAAATTAACTATTTATCAATTACCCTATCTTCTCTAAAATTCAGTGAACTAAAAACTAAGTTTGGCTCTTGTTTTTTGTTTCATTCGTCCCATAGCTACTCATGGACCCAATGGTGTTATCGGTGCTTTACGTATGGTGCCAGTTAAACAAGGAGCAGATCGTATCGTTCTGGTTCGGCACCCATTTCAAAGCTGTTTATCTGCCTTGGGTTTTGTTTGCTTTCAATTTAGTGATTTCTGGAGGAGGTCTTTACGAACTCATAGGAATCCTTGTAGGCCATTTCTATTTCTTCCTTAACTTCCAGTATCCTCAAGAAGGCGGTCGACAGCTTCTTCACGTGCCGGCCATCCTGTAAGTATCATTTGAAAATCGCGCGCAAACAGACAGGGCGCTTGTAATCGAAGCTCATGTTTCCCATGCGTCAAGATTTCATTCCATCGTAGCTTTTCTATTGAGCAAATCTCCTAGTATTAATTTTTAAATAATTTTCCTTCGCTTAATCCATATGCTTGAAATATCAGTTGACATAGCACACAACAAACATGATCTACATTGAAATACAGTTACCTATAGCAGAAAATAAGCATACTTGTTTTGATTCTCTTTAACCACCATAGGTACAAGTACTTTCCAAACCAGTCCGGCAGCTTTGGGGGCTTCGGTCAAGCCCCCCAAAGACGAGATCCTGCCGGTCGCGGAGATACTGGAAATCATAACGGGCAATCACGGGGATGGTTTGGCGCACACAACTGGGGCACCGGTCATGTTCTCGGACGACAGTAGCCGAACGAATGGAAGTATCTTCCGTCAGTGAATGGCATTTTAAATAGAAATCAAATGCATATGTATTTTATGTCCTTTGTCTACCACTAAGAGCTACCGATTCCCCTATTTACCTAGCCAATGGAGTAATTGCCTTTCCAGCTGACATAGATCCATCCTTATTTTACCAACAGAATCCCTCCCACCCAATATATTTAAGTGGTTCTGTGACTTTTTTTCTCTCCCCCAAAAATCAGCAGTGAAGATCGGTTACGATTTCCGCAATGTTTGCCTGGATCAAAAGCTGTCGTCCAAGCAATCGTGACTAGCGATTTCTAACATCGCGCTTAAGTTGTTTACCTTTTTGGTATCAATGCTTCTGAATAGGGGTTCGATCGCAACGAGCGGAATTTGAGCAATGTAGAGGGAAATGCTAAGCGGAAGAGATTAAGGTACCTAATAATTAACAAACGCAATCGAGAAGCGGATGCTGATTATCATTGGACTAACGAAGACGCAAATGACCGAGACTACGTAACGCGCCTTCAGCCTGTTAAGTTAGAAATAAACGAAAAACCGCTTGGGTGCCATTAATAAATCGAAAGCCATTGTGCGAGTACTATTGTCACCATACTGATGGTGCAAAAAAATCCTTTATGTCGGGAGAAAGTGAGATCAATTTCAAACATTGTACATAATCGATTAAGGAGCTATATTTAAAAAAAAAAAAATATATATATATATTGGGTTAAGAGTGCTCAAGAAAAGTAGATATATAAGTAGCATAATCAAAAGGGGAACAATGAAAACAGTCGAAATAAAGACAAGCCTTGGGCTCGAAATGCAAATGTGTGAAACATTAAGTGTGAAACATTAACTTAATCTTCTCTGTGTGCGTGTATGTAAGCAAAAAGGTGAGGCGATTCAAAAGAGGAACTACGAAGAACTATAATAAAACGATGAGGCAGGACGATGTTGAAGACTGTGAAGACTCTTTTTTGAAATAACAGATATCCTTACATCTAGAAAGGAAAACAGAAGCATAGTCCGAGCGCCTTTTACAACTAGTTTGAGCAGTGTATATTCCTAGAACTTACTATATGCGAACAAAGATGAAAATATTAAAGCTGTACAAAAATACATTTTGACCTACCCGGTAAAGTTTGCGGTTTTTTGGCTAGAGATTTTTTTAATCATAGCATCTAAAAATAACCATGTATTCAGATGATTCAGCCTGTCTTGTTATTCTTATATTTTATCATTTTGTTAAAAACGAAATGTAACAAACAATAGTCAGGTCCTAACGATATTGATTTATACAGAAAAACGCTTTATATGTATTTGTGTGTATTCGTTTATAAAAGCCTGTTAGATTTAAAGAAGTAGTGTGAATTTAGCATACAAGTAACATTTCGTTGTTTATAAAAGTTGTACAGAATATTTCATCTCTTCACAAGGTCGATACATTTTAGCTGAGCTAATATATTTTATAAGTTTGTTTTTCGGTATCTTGGGTTGCTGCTAAATAACAGGTGGATAAACAAAGCGCTATATTGACGCCACTCATGATGATTTCCGAGCAAATTCATACGTGTATGAATTTGTGCCAGTTCTTCGAGGTTGATGCAGATTTTGCTTCGTAATTTAGGAATACTAAGCGAAGCCGGCAGGATGGCCGAATCCTAATGAAGTCTGCTGATTTCACTACATCTACGCCACCTGACAGGTTTTTAGGCATTTTCTCTTCTGTTTTAATTGCGTTTTGCCTATTGCATGTGGCAGTGGTTCATGACGTCGGCCTCTTTCTTGGCACAATCGGCAGACAAAAGCTTGGAAACGACCGCGCGGGAAAGATAGCACGTGGAGACCGAATTGGAAACGGCATAGAACGCTGACATTTCTTCACGGCTTTTGCGTCTGCGTGGCGAGCCTTGCAATTGCGCTTCACCAGGTGGGGTGCCGCGGTCCATTTGAAACAAAGCAAATGCCTCACGGATCAGCTAGAAGTTCAATACAAGAGCAAGTTGACAAATGTAGAGAATGGATTGTTAGTTGCAAGTAGGATTATTACCTGAATAGTGAGTATTATTATCAGACAATTTTGTATATTACTGTACAGCAAACAATATAATTAATTATGATAAAAGTAATTGTTATTATTGTATTATATGACATTGTTTTTATGTTGACGTGTATATTCACCTCATCAAGGTCAACTCGTGCGGTGAAGGAAAATTCATGATTTCGTCGTAAGATAACATCAATCACCATGAGGAGTTCAACCATGAGATGACGATACTCTGGGAAGGAAACTCGGCTGAGCAGAAGCTCAATCTTGAGAGCAAAGCTTAATTCATAAACCGTTAGTTCAGAGAGGGTTGGCTGTTGTGGCAGATGCTGACCGCAGATTACGATGCCATCCGGAACCCTCGTCAGGATGTCCCATACTCTAAAATGCAGAATCCAATTATGCGCGTCAACAAAGCAACAAGTCGCCATTTTTAGCAGTCACACTTAATCATTGATTAGTTCTAAAAATGAGTCAAAAAATGCATTTTGAACATCTACACTCCAACCTCAAAACGACCCTGCCGGATGAAAACTCGCTTTCGCGTGGAATCCAGTGTCTCTGTGTTATAGCTTAGCCGTCGGAATAGAACCTTCATAATAACTTCCAGCTGTCCCTTCTACAACAGGCTTCAGTATTGTCATACATTATTTCTTCAAGGACGTCACGCTGGGTTAAAGGACTCGATACAATTGATTGGAAGACTCTGGGTAAGCGACGGGATTACTTGGATTATCACAGCTTCTCATATTGCTCGAACCTTTTTAGAGAAGGATCGAAATACATCCTCTAAATTGGAATCTAGGTTACCTAACATATTCCGAAACTTAGTAGGCAGATATACTCCTACCGCCCCATCATGAGAAGATTAATCGTTATCGCATGATAAAACAGTAGTTTACCTGTCGAAGAAGTAGTCAGGCACTCTGCATAGGGCTCCCTCGATTTGACGTATTTGGTGCTGCGTAAAGTTGGAGTCCTTAACATCCAGCACCTTTAGAACAACTCGTCGAAGTTCTGATGGCGAAAGTGACTCGAGTGCTTGTTTATTATCCGAAAACTTCATATACAACTGTAGTGCATGGATCATCCAGCCCACTCGAATCTTAAGGATTCCGTTGAACAATTTCGGCGTCGTTTGTATTAACTTCCCGCAATAAACAAGAATTTCTTGCATCAACACAGCATGATATGGATAGTCTAGGCACTGGCTGTAAATAAGCTGAAATTTTGTTTCACCAAAGAAATACAAAAAATAATATAGATAGACCCGTGTACAAGCATCGGTCTCAAATGCAAGCTTAATTAGGTGAGAATGAGCACCCTGTAAGATCTACAACAAATTCAGCTATTTTAGACACAGCTAAATCGAATAATAACAGGACATATATGGAGCAACGGACGAGACATACCTGCTGAACTTGCTGTGGCGTAAGGGGGTGATCTATAACATATTCAGATTTCCCGAAAACACCAACAGTTAGCTGCTTTCCGCTAACGAGAATAGAAGTGATGTACGGACTTAAAGAATCAGCGAGTTTCCCCAAAAGACTCGAGCAATAGCGCAGAACAGTCCAATGCCGGAGCGCACCTGCCTGAGAGTATCACCGTTACTTTCAATTCGTAACACAAGAGGCATCTATGAAACATACATGCTTCATGTTAATGTCTTCCATTTGTATATAAATATATATACATATATATCTATATATATATGTATACTGATTGTATAACCTACACAACTGTTATGAAAAATTAACTGATTCTTATTATTGTTGATTATTAACAATATACAATGATATTATCTGTAGTTATAGAGGCTTGATGGAGCAAAAGTGGTGTACCAGGAGAAATGCCATGGCAATGGATAATGTTAACTGTATCCAAAATGGCTGGTCAAATAAAGATAAACAAGACCTGATATGATGTATGGATTACCTGCAAACAAAAAGAGTCGCATTTTAAGAGTTACCTGTCGGGTTAGCCTTTCCATACGATCTTCGAGGTTTGCTCCGTCAATGTTATAATGGACTCCGCAACGCTGCCACAAGACGCCGAGGAGCTGGCTCTGACCATACAATGTATCGACATGGCGTAGAGCTTCAACAATTTCTTCTGTCGATCGCTTGGTATATTCCGAGTAATTTTTCAGAGGCTCGTCGTACTCGAGTACGGTTGGAATATCCGTCAAGCTCGTGTATCCAGTATGCGGATTTTCGAACTGTTGAAGGCACTGCAGCTTTGGTGCCAGTTCATCAGGTACCAGATCAAGAAAGTCAAGGTGCTCAATGCAGGCCGAATTCATCAAATTTTGAAGTCTGCCGAGACGTACCTTTAGGCCGTAACAGTTACCGGACTTCAACATGGCGAGAAGTTCGAGTAATTGGCGGAAATGCGAATCGCGCATATTTTCTTCGCGGATAAGAATGGCCATTGTGGGGCGGCCAGACATTCGCCAGTACTTACCAACGAAGTGTAATTCGTTCTGAAAATAATGTAGATACACTATTTTACGAAAGTAGAGTAGCCGAATGTGAGTAGAGTTATATATACTCACGGCGTAGACGGTGTCTTACTTTTGCGATATGAAAAATAATGCGTACTTTAGAGGTGTCCTTATATATGCGTGATACATTGCATTGATAAAAAGTGAAGTTTTCCCTCTCTTTATACATATAACATTTTCTACATGGTATATATATATACGTATATATATATACCATGTAGAAATATATATATACGTATAAGTATTGAATATATAAGTATTGAAATTATACATAGAAATTATAGACGATGCACAAATGTTGAAATTTATTAGGCAGAACCCATAAAGGCAGGCGAATTCAGAATATCTTGACCAGCTGATTTCTGCTTCATACCTTTATATCATCGATGAGCAATGCCATATCGTAGCTAAGGTAGAAGTCGGATACTTCGAATATCAGTGGATAGCACATGACCGTGTTGCCCTTGATTTTGTAAAGCTTACTTGTGCCGAGGGCACCAATTGGCCTAGGTGGGCGGCCTTTTAAACCCAGTTTCTGATTAAAACCAAGATGTTCGTATACTTTCACCAGTTCAGTGGGTGACCAGATCTGAACTGGCTCGACTTCATGAGGCGTCTGCGTTTGAATTCCGTAGGTGGCCATCATTGCTTGAAGTCGTTGGCTTTCCGCGATTAACACCACTTGAACGACCAAATCGGCGCACGCTTTTCCCTAAGAATTAAAAAATATACATTACCGTTAGCTCGTCTCGAAATGATCACGAGTGAAAGATACTGCACAAACTTTAAGTTATTTCCAGTACTTTGATGTGTGTAGCGTTTCAAAAATTTCTGTTTGGAACCCACTTGAAATGCAGAGTATCGATCGGTCCTTCTCGGTCGATTAAAACTGGGTAGGTAGCGTCTAATAGGGTCAAGCTCGTTGATATGCAGCATCTTAGTAATAAGTAACTGCGAGATGATATAAAAGGCCTGGCCCGCGAGGAATAAATTTTCTGGTGTACCTTCCTTGGACGCTGCTCGATGCGATTGACCTGGATGTTCTTTTTCTAAATCGAGCAGCGTTGCTAGTACATAGTAGTATTTCGGGATCTGAAAAAAGATAGTTATCATTTCAAAAAATACTAAGCATTATTTTGCTGCACTGTGGATATTATTAGAGTGCGATCGTTCCATTTTTCTATCCATTTTATTACTTTAACTACAAAATTACTATGCTTTGTAGTATATTATATGGCAACAAAGTAATTGGCCGCCGTCTATTTAAATGACCATTTATCAAAATGATGGATGTATGCAAAATTGCAATGAAGAAACGTTACCCATGACCAATCTAATTCTTGTACGGGATGGCGTTCTATATACTCACTACAACTAAGTTATCCTCATCTCGTATTATCCTTTTCTCAAGCAATTCGCAATACCGGTTGACCTGTTCCTCATTATTTTTGAAAATTCCGTCGAGAATCAGGAGAATGTACCCGAGTGGCCATTCACACTCAATATGATCAAACAGCTGAAATAGCAAAAATAAACTGATCAACTAAAGTGCACACAAGGAATTATCTCTGTCATTTCTGAGGTAATCCGTTGGAGGGAATCACAGTGTGACCCTTTAGTAAGCATATTTGCACTTAATATCATTGAAGGTTACTAGTCTCTACGTGAGTAATGTAAATAAATGTTTCGTATTTTGCTTCCAATTATACTGTTTTAGTTAAACATTGCTTTAGATAGATGGCCCTTTCCAAAACGAAACGATTTATACGTCTGGGCTTGGCTTTAAACCCAAACAACCTTTCATGCTTATATATTTAGTAAGCAAGCACGTCGTAGGCTACTTTTTGGGGAAATAACTAACCGACAGATATGGTCGTTTGATTTAGAGATTTGTATGTATGCGTTAAGAGTATCTAATACGGTTGTTACCTTAGCGTTACCTTAGTTTCTCCTTGGTCGTAAAACTTTTTTGCCGGATCCTCAAGGACGCAGCCATAGCCGTCGCGAAGGAACCTTTTAAAACCGTAAGGTCCTTCGAGCCGTCGAATAATCTTGTCCTTAGTACGAGAGTAGAGATATTCATCGTGTGTGGCAAAGCATGGAAAGCTGGTAGCTAGAAGGAGGCTGATGTCCGTATTCTGTTAACAACACAGACGTATGCATATTTTAAACCTAAGTCAACGTAGTAAATAAATATTTGAGACCCAAACTATATATATGTATCCTCTTTATTAGTAGTCCCTATCAATAAAAACAGAGTGCACAGTTTCTGAAATTTGCATGTTTAAGTTTACCTTCGAGCTGGATTCTCTGGGGAGAAGCGTTTCAAAGATCGTCCGGTTACGATTATGGGCATCAATATCTACGTAAATCACACTCCGTTCGGCTCCTTTGTCGCCGAAAACATTAAAACCATTGATCGCTTCCAAAGCTGCCTTAGCCATACCAATTGACGATGCGTGAATCTCAGGCGTTCCATTGTTGTACTTCGAACCTCGCTCCCATATTCCAAAATCAGGTGTACGATAAGCTCTATAAAAGAAGATCAACATTTAATTGCCAAAAATCAAATTAACCAAATTTGTGTAATGCTACAAGATAAATGGAAAGTAGCTATAGATTTCGATAGAGAGGCGATTTATATAGAGTATGGACTATTGTCAAATAAATAGAGTTTCGATTGAATAACTATAAGGAGTACCGACTTACTTCATTCTGCCAAAGTTAATTTTCCTGTGGTTATTATTATTACGGAATATATCTACTATATTCTCTTTATAATTACACAACAACACCCTATATATAGGATATTGCCATGCTGAGTAATCATAACGGTAAAAATAATTATATTGTAATTCTAAGTTAGAATGCTTTATTAGAGGGATAATATTTTAAATTACTGTTTAAGCTTTGTTCTCACAAGCATACTTCATGTCCTTCGTTAAGTAGAATGTGACGCCAACTATATCAATGGTTCGTTAATCGAACCAATTTGAAATGGAAGATTGAGCCCGATTTTTATCGGCGATGATTACAGCTGTTAACGTTTGCTTTTAGGGTTATTAATATGAATAGGAAGTCTAAAGGGGTAGTCAAAAACTGTTTACAAATGCGGGAAACTATCTTTAGTAACATCAGATGGGCTTTACAATGAAAAATAGAATACAAACCATAGTTCATAGCGCATGCACCTTCATGCACAATGATAGGACGTTTCGCCCTTGAAAAATTAGTTCTAGCAAGAGTAAACGCTTCTAATTTGAATAAGCGGCGACGTGCGGTGAAGTGGCTAGCCAAATACTGGAAGGCCCTTACTACCTTAGTATAGCAAACCTACTCGTAACTGTGTATTTTAGGTTTCGTAAAATAGAACAACCTTTTAGCGCAGCCTTATAACAAGCGTTTATCGCTGCCGCTTTGAAATCTAGTTGAAGGCTGTTCCAATATGTTAAACAGGTCATTTCAAAAATACCGTAGTTCTCTTACACGATCACATATTGCTGAATTTCTGACAAAAGCAGAAATCCTGAAGTTCTTTTAACACTATGAAAATCCGAGGGTAGGGGTAATCTGTACGTCAATAATTTGAAATGCGAACTCTTCGTTATGGTACATACTGTGGAGTTAAGAGCACCAAACAATGTCAGGCACATTAGGGAGCTGCTTCAGCCATGGCCTAGCCCTCGTTAGCCTGTACGCCAGAATATTAACTCACCTCACTAACGTGGAATTGTATAGTCTGAAAAACTGTTTTTCTAAACACTTTTTTTTTTTCTAAAACTCCACTCGATCTGCCTGTACAATGTTGACGGGGCTTGACTAAGCTCCATACCATCTGAGTAAGCCGACTCATAAATATATAAATATAATATGACTAATATATGCAAAGAGTTCTTATGAGAATTAGTAATATATCGAATACGAAATCAAACTAAAGAAGCACTCTTACCGCTCAACGTAGTACACCAGGTTCTGTAGAAAGTTAACCTCATCCATAGTATAAATAATTTGCAAACCTGACGAGATCATCTGCACGATATAAAGCAAGTAGAGAGCTGTATTGTTCAGCTGTAGGTGCCCGTAATCTTTGTCGGCTAATATAGGCTTTCCTGTTTTCGCATCAAAAACTGAGTGCAGAGCAAATTCGGGGCATTGCTTTGACTTAAATGCTTCCATCTATGGAAAAGGCAGAACACCGGAATAAATGCATATTATTACTTTTTTTCTTTATTGATGCAGCACTTACAAGCGGTTGCGCCATCGAGCGACCTGAAATCAAACTAGATGCCACCACGCGATATTAACAGATACGAGATTATTAAGTTTGCCGTAAATTTATTTCGAGAAAATAAGTTGTTTCATATCGTAACGCATCGTCTCCTACTTAGCTGAGTGGCTTAGATTCGACATTCTGGCATCAAAAAAAATTCCTTTTAGACACTATTTGAAAATTTTTTTAACTGACCTTTGCCTGACTCTGCCGCATCCAACCAAACAGGATCCCACGCATTGACTTAACCACACTCTGCCCCAATTCATATGTCTTCCCCCGGTCATCATCGATTCGGCGGTATGATTGATACAATGCCCACACACAGATGGAACAATACAACGTGTCCTGGATGTGAGCCACATTCTCTGAAGAATGTTTTGGGAAGAGACCCGTCGTAGCACTTTGGTATCGGAGAATCTGTTTTTTAACTGGGTAAAATAAAAGTGCAATGTTCAAGTAAGACACATGCGAACATGTTACCTCCGTCCTACTTGTCATCGTGCAATGCGCCCGAGCAGCCGCAATGTTTCGACTGGCCTTAACAGGAATGATTGCTTACCTTGATTGTAAAATGCATCTAGTTTCTTTACAGTATCAGAATAATTTGTCATCTTAATTGTCTCCACATCAATATCAACGACGCTTGAAAGCTTTTCATGACTGAACGATCGTACCGGCACCGGATCCAACCTGGAAGCGAGAAAAAATACACTTTTTCCTGAAATATGTTCTGACCGTTTCTATAAACTGTAAGAAATGTCTCCACGGAACTATTTCCATGGAACAGGGCTATTTATGAGGCATTATTACAATTTTATCGCCGTGGAAAAATCAATAGAGTACGAATGTTCAATGATTCAATGTTAAAAAAACTTTATGTAAATGTCACTATTTACAAATATTGATATTGTTCGAGTTCAGTTACAGCGAAAGCAACTCAATAATGATGTCGATGATGTAGGCTGAACACATAAAGGTATCTGTTAATGTTAGTGTTACGCAATCGGTTTCACAGCCTTAACCTACGAATACTGACACAAGCATAAAAGTAACACCTGTATTCGCAACATCCAATGCTTTTCAAACGAGCTCAGATCGTTGAAGATTTTCAACTATAACAATCAGACACACTAAGAAAAATCATCCATATGCAGAGAACATTTATATGCAGATTTGTGTGTCGAGTCTGATTTGTCATAAAACTAGAATACATACGAACATACTAATGGCCAAGTAAATGGAAAAATTAATGGCGTAACTATCATTTTTGTACAAACCTACCACACATGAACCCATTAACAAACTCAAACACACACATACACAAGCACTAATTTATGCACAAAACTCGTTGAGGAGATTCACTCAGATAAAGATCAACCCAGTAACCTCTATGATATGCAAATTATCCATTCTATGTTATCCGCATACATAAGGGTCAATGTTCGCCCTGTCCCTTGAACGCCGGTCCCTTTTTTTTTTATCATTGTTATGGTTCATAATGCCGCCGTCTCTGTTATTTTCGGTTGTGAATATAACTGTTCGCTAGCTCATTTCTTAGGGAGCATATGAACTGTGACGGTCATTGAGCCCACGGGCAATACACAAACAGATCCACAACAGCGATTAATTCTGCTCTCCTATCTAGCCGGAAGCTCCGTTCCAGTCACGTAATATCCATGCCCTGTTGTAATGATGCTGGAAAGTTGAATGTGAAAAGCAGAGAAGGTATCATAAAAAAACACTAGTCAGAATTTTTCGAATCTGAATCATCGAAAGTACGTATCTATTCACGTCTACATCGAACCTAGAGCAACGGATAAAAAATGTGTTGGATAAAGGCATTAACCAGTGTTGGACTCACAATCGGGTGGAAAAAACACAAATTTGGCTACTGATATCTTGACTAAGCGTACCTCGGTGGCTCTCGCCTCTCGAGAGGTTTGTATTGTTCATACTTCGGCTTCGCTGGGCTTTCGAAAAGTCTACTTCTTTTGCCCATTTTAACACCAGTGATCCTGGCTGTTGTGAGTCACATGCACAGTGTTTGCATCCAAAAACGTTTGCCCGATGCGATGGGCTGGCTATCCACAAGATTTGCTAGTTCTTTCGCAGCCGGGCCGCCTCTCAAACGGCGAAACCAGCAACGTTACGTTAAGGAACACGAACGTGGAAAGCACTACATTGAGGCCAGTATCACTGGCGGCATGACATGGATCGGCATCTCTCGTACGTAAAACGGAAACGGCTCTCTTTAGAAGAGGCGGCAAACCTTATTTAAATCATGCTACACAAGTAAACCACTTGGAGAACACGCGGACGAATCGCATTACAGCGCTCGCATAATTTACAAAATCCAATCGGCGATGCACGCCATAACAATGAAGCAGGCTACTGTCTCTACAGATGTAGTCATTCGAACTGTTAAATCGCATTAGACATTAGTAATATTTGCTGATTGCCAAAATTTGTTCTTAGCAAACAAACCATTATAAATAGAGCTTCAATAATCATCTGTGACAAGTTTACACTGTCGATTTAATATCTTGCTCGAAGGAATAGAGTTGAAAAAAGTATCGTCTAGTGTATACGTGGATGACATTTCATATAAATGTAGGCACAGAAGGGTAAACACCGATGAAGATGGGCACCTTTTTCCAAACGAAAACTTGAACAAAAACCTTGTATAGCTAAGATTTGTTATACACTCAATTTACTCTAGACAAAAACTCTTGCACATGTTTTCTGACATACTAACAGGTTTGGCACTTCATTTGTGTCACATCATTATAATAATCGATTGGGTGGGCTTGGCCAACTGTTTCGTAGAAAAGATTCTACTCAAGAACTTACCCCAGACATCGCGTGGCAGCCATGAGGCCAAACTTGCAAAGGTCGCAAGACCTGTGCGGGAATGTCGAAGCTCCGAACCAAGCTCTCTGTAACAGCGCTGCAGTACATATCTCAGAGGCCAAAACACATCAACAAGGGAGGGTTCAACCAGTCTGTTTTCATCCCTTACCCTCACTCGATTCATGGAAGCGAAGGGCGGATCCAATTTTCCGGGCGCGTGTCATAACAGCTCAGCTCAGCGTAAAAACCTTTAGGACCGTATCTAACCTATATTTCAAGCATAAAGAAACTTTTGCGCGCAAAAATGGAGCAGCCTTACGGCGCCAAGCTCTTGACTTTTATACATCCTTCTGGAGGGATCATCAAGCGAAGGACAGTAATCATTTACAGCGGATCATTTCATCTATACGCAAGATAACGTATTACAGCATAGCCTAGGCGGGGTCGCATGAGAGGTTGAAGGAAACTTTTTTAACTAAATCCTAATACACATACCTATTTAAGATTTCTCAGCGAAAAGCAGAAATGAACAATTACGCAACAAGCCTAAAACTCTACTCATTTCTAGTTTTTTTTTTTTCCCATTTTTTCTTACAAGCAACTGGGCTGTAGTTACAAAGCTATGATTTAGTGCTTTGTAACATTGCTTTCCAACTTAATACGTGTTTCAGTTGAAGTTGGTTATAATTTGTCTGTCAGAGAATTTAACATATGCAATTACTAACGTTTTTATGTGAAGTCTATGCCTTCCGCAAGCCCTGCATCATGAAACAATATTGATTAAAGTCGACGAATAGCGTACTAAGCGGACTGAGAAACAAGCGGATATTTTTCGCCCTGAATTATCTATTTAAAGAATTTGATCATAAGTAATAAGGATCTGAGAATAATAATATCTAAGAATCTAGAGGACGTGTGTTTTTATTATTAGTTCAGTCTATTCTACCTTACACAAGCTTGGCATTAATAAATCTAGGAAACTATTGTCTGAAAATTAGTTTCCGTACCCATCGGTTGACGTCGTATTACTCAAACTTGATATAAAACGTAAATAGAGTTTGTATTGGCTTCTAGGAGCGTTACATACAGCCCATTAAGTTGTGACGAACTTTGGCGTGCGATTTGTCCTGGCTAGGTTCAACTTCTGCTCTTGAACAGAACAACAAATTCGCAATCACAAAGAATATTGTCAGATTTATGTGTAGCTCCTGAAAAAAAAACAAGAACGAGCTTTACGAGAAAAAACGGAGTATCTTTAATGGGGTTAAAATTTCAAGGACCGAAAGATGCACCAAAAAGATTCAAAAATATTATTGATGTACGTGAATTTTTTCTTTTCTTGGGGAGAAGAATATAAGTAACGAAGTGGATAGTCCAGATACGCTCTAATGACTGAATTTCTTTTGCGTTTTCTCACCCCTTCTGAATTTTTTGACCATTTGAGTTCTTGCGTTTGAGCTTGCTACCAGTTAAGCCGAAATTTAATTCCAGAAAATGTTCGCATGCAGCGTATTTGAATGACAGTAATAAATTTATGCCTACCAATATCGCGTGACGGTTAGGTTAGGTATCTATTCATTATTGTCAAATAATTTAATTGCGTATTAAAGAAAGAATATTTGGAAAATGACTAATGAACGGTTTTAGTTTTAAATCGAAACTACAATTGTGTTAGATGATGGTTTAGTAGAATAACTATGACCATCAGGAGCGATGCTTCTAGAGCATGCGAGAATCCAGTTGAGTTATCTTCTTTTTATTTTACTATAGTCTTAGAAGCAAGGCGTAAGAATAGGTTTCAGTTTTTCGGGCGCCGGAACTTGTAATAACTATATAATAACATTTTCTTTGTTGTAGCCCTTTGTTTAGGGATGTGCGGAAATGATCTGTGTTGCTAATTTTTAGGGTACCCCATGATTCAATGTCCCCGACTTTTGGAAAAGACAAATGGGCAGCAATCCTGTAAAATATATAGGGTAACAACGTTTGTTGACCTTTTACATGGAGGGTTCGCTTCAATGCTAAAAAGGACGTCTCTATAAAGGATTTAGTTGGAGTACGATCAACGAGAAAGGCCAGCTTTTTCGAGCGATTTAAATAGGATACTGTCCATGTATATATATATATATATATATATATATATATATATATATATATATTAGGTTAGAGAAAACCAACTGCTTTTCAACTATATCGTTTCTCATGGTCGAGGAAGAATAATTGCAAAAACGGCCAAAGTGGCTGGATAATGAGGATAAGCACACAGTTAATATCAGACTTTCAATATTCAACAAACTTCAAACAATGAAGATGAAACTAATAGGCGAAAAAGAAACAGGAAACGTAAATGGCAAACCTACATCGTATGACTAATAATGTCCAGTGTAATAGCAGCATGTCTCCCTGCCAAAAGCATACGCATCTTAGGTTTGATACGTTGGAATAAATTGAATTTGCTTTCAGCTGCTTCTAGGACCGTCTGTAGAATCACCTGCACAACGAACCAGAGACCATCATTCTGACGTCACGGGCATTTTATAATATATGGAAGCGTAGCTGGAAAAAAAACGAACTTACTCTAATGAAGTATATTCTCTATCTTTTTTACTCAAACATTAAATAAGATTTGACATAAATTGATTGCTTATGGCCATGCTGTAGTTCCATATTCTAGTTATGGAACCTGAGTTATTGTTATGCTGCAGACAACATCGGTGTACCTTTGTTGTAGTGTACTGTAGAATACAAGGTGAATGCACGTAATGTTGACTTCGAGACAAAGGAATACATTCGATGTTCAGTGAAGCAAAAAATCGTGCATAGCGTTCATAGATACTTGTCACGCGGGCAAATTTCTGGGTTAAATCGGTTCTACGACACGACGATAGGTCCCAAGGGATCGCTACGAATAACTCTAATGTAATCCAGTAGTTATAATGCTGCATTTGATCCTGCCTATGTCGTACTAACTACTGTTAGCACCTATATAGCGAAAAATGACAGCTTAATAGTAGAAAACTAATCTAATTTATGTTTTCAGCAAAGGATTTAGGTAGAGTGTGTGTGCTTGATAATATGTTTCGCATTATAATATACGTGGGTAATATTTAGAGATATTTTTTACACACCCTGCTTACATAGTACTTGTATCATCTGGTCATGTGTATGTACTGCAATGTATAATCATGTAAAATGGAAAAAAATAAATAAAGTAAAAATATTTACCATGATACAATGATGGTTATAGTAATTGAAATATATGATTTTCAATTGACCTGCTTTAGGAAATATATATATAGTTATAAGAAGAAGTGCGTTGACTGACTTACGTATAGAAAAAGGTCTGCGTTCTCGTCTAATCCATACAAAAAGACATCAGTTAGACAAATAAAATGAACCCGTCGTACTCGGTCCATCACTAAGGAAACTTTTCGAATCATTTACATAGTGTAATATATACCTTTTTTTTTTTTTATAAGTTGCATCGTGTATCAAGGCTGATCAACCGAAAACCCTTGCCGCATGCCCTGGATCGCATTCGGGCAGTTTTCGAGAGTTTCTTGATAGTTATCCGCCTACTGCACTGGAGCTCCTGTGCCTGTTTTTTTTTTTTATCTTGTCTTGTACAACATATGCATCTCCGCAGACTACACACTTGCTTAGACCAACCACAAGCTTATTTTTAACCAACCACGACCTCTACTGCTTACTTTTAATCGATGGGTATTGCAGAGCTTTACTTCGATCACAAACTTACTCCATTCTAACCAGGTTTAGGATCTAAGGTAAGACTTTTTTCAACATTCTGAAGTTTTATATTCATTAAATACTTCCACACTATTCAAAACGCTGGCTTCCCCATTTTAAGTTGCATTAACTTGAAGCATACAGGTGCGCAAAATTTTAATCAATTATCAACGAAGTCCGATAACTAAAAATATAAAAGAACGCAAACCCACTAATCCTCTCCCGCGAACGTTGATGTTAAGTTAGGTTTTTCTTCGATAATCCCGCTACTGCTTTCATCGAAACAAGCGCCTGTGCTTTTTGAAAACAAGGCTAGAGTCCGATCGGCCCACAGATTTATCTTGCGTCCTTGATTCTGTAGGCATTAAGACTTCCAGCATCTTTTAAATGCTAGAAATGTATTAGAATTTAGGCGATGTCCAATATTCCGAAAACTGAGCCCTTACCATCTGTTCACTATAGGCTAGATGACCTTAACCATCCGACCCGAATGTATAGATTTTGTGGAAATCAAATAAAGACCTGCTAATCATTTTTCTCATATTCACTGAGTTTATTCAGTATTTCAGTCGAAATAACAATGAAAATAATAATAATAATATTGTCCACATTCATAAGAGCAATTTCTTAAAATTTTTTTGACCATTGAAAACATACATCACCATCTTCCCTCTCTTTGTCGATTTTTTGGCGAGATTCACAAGAAAAACACTTCCATTGTTACACTAGCCCACTTTCTAGAGTAGGCAGTGATCACTTAGTATTAACAACGCATCGCTTTCCGCTGTTTCACAATCACTTGATCTTCACCGCCCCTTCACCGCCTTTTTTCTTCATAATTATCTATATACCGCTTATTTTGCATTTACATATATTTACTTATATTAACCACATAGAGATGTTGGAGACGACTTACACGACTTGTGATCTCTTCATTTATCAATGTCTCTGCCCTTAACTTTCTCTGCTATCATATATATGTAATGAAGAGCAGACCATTCTTTCCCATTACATAAGTGAACTTTAGCATCTTAGCGAACTTTAAGCGACCGTCAAGTTTATTCATGAACGATTCCGTATCATATGGATATTGTTACCTTTATCACTATTATTATGTAAATTTTAAACCGACTTGAATAGCTGTTTGTTTATTGGATTACTATCTAATCGCTCGATCACGTGTGACCATATTCCACGATTGAGTGAATGCATTCATTCATGATATTGATGCATTGAGCTGTTTGATAGCAAAGAGGTCAGTGGGTAAATATGTAAACCTCTTATTACTTTTATGAATTTCATATCACTGCTATATATCCGATCCGGAACATTGGCCATGCTTCCACAGGTCCAAAAGCTACAAGAGGCATGCACATTACACACAAAGGTACTATGGGCGACAGGTGCTAATACAGAGCTTTGGGCAGACCGTAGAAATTTCACAACGCTTACGTCTTCTGCCTGTTCGCTCACTTATTCACTATATCAGGCTAGACTTTCGCGCACAGGGACAAGCTGATGCTTCAAAAGGTTATATTCCACGCAGCCTAAATCATCACTATACCGTATCGGTAAAAGTGCAGTACTGCCCTTCTGCGATACGTTGAGATAATGTCGGCCTAAGTTGATGATTCCAATGAATTATTCTAGCACAATGGGCTAGTCCTCAATGTGCGCTTCGTCATTTACCCGAACCATCACAAACCTGCTAAGGCACTCACTCCATCTCAGAGTCCAACTTCCTTTACAACCCGATACCGTATCTATTCATTATTGTCAAATAAACTCAATGGTGTATTTATGCATTGACAGTTTCACAGAACCGTTCAAAAACAAGTTCTCGCCGCTATCATCTAATCGTATAAGTACAAATAAAATAGAAAACAAATTCTCTGTTAGCCCTTTTCGACGTGCGGCAATATCACGTCTCAGCTTAGCTTCAGCTACAACATTTGCCGAAAACAATATAATTATACGCAGTACCTGTTCACCTTTACAATGAAGTGATTGTCTGCCATCAACGCGTTGGCGGTCGCGAATATGTCACCCTGACGCTCGGGGTGAGTAAGAGGATGCGACAACAAGTATCGTACACATTTTTGCCATGGATTCCGACCCCCGGACAACTAACCCGCTTCTAAAGAAAAGCTTCAAGCCAATTGGAGCATTATTCATACATTGCTATGGTGTTTTTTTTCATTACTTACTTCAAGCTGTAGTAGTTTCTTCACGAAGGTCAGTCATGAGGCTGGAAGATTTATGCGAAGGAACCAAGAAAACGATCTGTCGTATCCCAATACGGGAGCGTGATTGTATAAGCAAGCGTTTCCTACCTCTATTATGTCATAACATTCAACTATTATAGATGTGAATTGCGTTATGTAAAAGATGTGCGAAATCACCGCGAATATCTAGAATATTACGTAGAAATCAAACGTTGTTTCTTAAACTTTTTATCATCTGTCGATCTTCGGCAAAGATTGACATAGCCAGATCGATCGCCACGTTTAGCTAGTCAACAGCAACTCAAATGCATACGGTGTTTTGCATCACGGAATGCACCGGAATGGTTTTTGTCATTGGCTTCTTCTCTAGCATCCATTTCTATTGTATGATGCACGATCGTTATATAATCAGAGGGCAGATGATGCCCAGAAAAGTCCAACTATAACGGCGCGCTCAAAAAGAAAAAGCATCTAGAGAAAGTTCAAATGGGCCGCACCACAAACTATATCCTGCGGTAGCATAATCCAAAATGCCCCCCGCCCCAGCCAGCAATACCACCGGCACGCTAACTGGCGAAATTTTACGACGAAAAATTAGCCCCAGCGGCCGTATTTCCAGTTCAAGAACGGCTTGAATCTAACTTTAGCGTGTTATTACAATGAATATATTTTGGTGCATTGATGCCTAACCACTGCTACAATAAGTGAAACTGTAATTGTCCCTATACTTTCGTAAGTTCACTTCTATAATGAACAGATGATTGGCATCTTACGTTGAGTTCCGTAGATCTGCCAAGAAGCACAATCCAGTGTCAGTATCTATACATACAGGATTCTCTGTGTATGTATTTATTATGAGCATGAAGCCCGCGGTCTCGAGCACTACACAATGCTAACGCTTGTGTTACCTACAAAGTCATCGTAGAGATCTTCCATTTTCGCATTATCTTTCGCACGCGACCGCTCATATTCGTTGCTTTGCGTCCAATCAGCCTTACGCTCGTAGACCTTCATGACTTTCATTTTACCTAGTTGGCTGCTTTTCTTGTAGTTTTATTTAGTGTTTCTTCCTTCTATTTTGACATTTACATCTTCTAACCTAACGGAGATTAGCTGTACAGACGACTTTATATCGCCACTGCAGCGGATGAAGCAGCTGTTGCTGTAGAAGGGATAATAGTCGCATTCTTTGTCGTTGTTGAAATAGACGCTGAAGACCTCGTCAGCGCCGACATAGAGGTATTCATGGCATTGTTGATGGGTGCCGTTGCTTCCAACCTCACGAACCCGTTCGACCGCTTGTCCTGGGGCACCCGCGGCATTTGACTGGCTGGTCGTCGCAGCACGCAGTGACCTTCCCACTGGGCCTGGCGATGGTCATGAGAGGCCGCGAGGTTGCGTGTCCAAAGGGAAGGACACTGTCCGTCACAGGAAAGGCATGGGCGCGTTAAAGCATAACCTTGTCACGGTACACCATCGATTCAAAATGAGACAAGAACAAAAATGGTATACAATGTTAGTAGGAGTACATAAGTATAATGTGGTTCCAGGTCAACAAACCGAGAAGGAAGTTCAATAAAAATGCTGGGGTGTCTTTTTTTTTGTTTGGCGGCTGCTCATTTACGTCAATAGGTACGTTCTTGTGCGTATGACAATTATTATTAATCGATAATTCACCAAGACTGCATTTTTTGAGACACCTACCTCCGCACTCCTTGCAATCCAAAGAAACGTGGTTGTCGGACCAAGAAACCCCACAACTGTAACGGAATAAAATTCAAGTTATTATATATATATATATATATATATATATATATATATAGTGTTTATACAGTGTTAGGCATGCACACTGTTTCAAATAAAACACGTACTGCCATCAGGTCATTTTTGTTAAGGTAGATGAGAACAAACAAAAGAATTTCTGCCTATAATCGCCCTCCGATCTTTCGTTCTTTGCATGAACTCCCACACACGTCTGCTTGATTTCACCGATGAGTTCAATTCCAATAATCGTTTAAAGGTCTATAGTTTTTCAGAGAGTATACTGAGCGAGTATACCCGCTTTCCAGTGGCATACGTTAATACACTCAGGCACCCAAGTCAACCAACTTGCTTGTGGCTATCAACAACAATTGGTCTCTCTGTTGCAACAAGAAAAAGCACTACCGGATCGATTGGCTGACCAAACAAAAAGATCATTCGTCCTATTAATACTAAAACCTCAGTTTGGCGGACAACTGGTTCTACCCATCGATATAAATATCCCTTGCCCCATTACAGCACGACTATATGGCTTTCTCATCTCATAGCATTTTGTTTTTGCTCGATTCACTCGTATCCGGTCAAGAGTCGAAACAGTCGCTTTGCGATGCGTCGTGTCGCTCCCCCCAAATACGACACGATCGTCGATATCGCCCTTTGGTCGCTCGAAGCCCATACTTCTGTACGGCCATTTGCGTTGCCACTGTACTATTGGAATATTGATAAACCTCTATGATTACTCACAGACAGGCAGCGACAACCTCCTGAAGGGGTACTCGCAAGCAACTACTTGACGAGCCAGTTTGGTCGACCGCATTAAGCAACCCTACCTTTGTTTTGACCCCAGGTTCTTTACGTCGCCTACGCTTATCCCGTAGTTTTGCCACCGCTGATCCATACCACTCCAACTTGCGCTTGTTGTCTACCCTGAGTATCCCAAATTCCCCCTTAACAACTGCAGCCATACTTAAAACACTCGCGAGAGCTCCGTCAAAGCCAGATTAGCCTAGCGTGTAGATTCCACTCCAGCCCTGTCTGACTCACCCGTTTCCAGGAATACGTTCTCCTGCTCATTAGGCCGGTAATTCTAATACTCGCACCACGGCGTCGCTGCCCAGATCGCTGCTCTCGAAACCGGTCCAGTTGATTGGATCAGCGGCATCTGCGACCACGCAAACGTCCTCTGACGTTACCGACTACAAAGCGATCACCGCAAACGTTTATAGTAGTAAAGGCGAAAACATTCACTGTATAGAAGGGTTTGCTAGACAGAACAATTGTAACTAAACGGAAAAAATATAGTAAAAAAAAATATATATATAGTTTTCAGACAACATTCAGAGGCATTTGTTCATTGCAACCGCTTTAGCGACCTCAAAGGAGATCTAAATCGCATACATATATTTCCGTATAGGCAGATGGCCGTATTGATAAACATGCGCAAAGAGAAGCTGATTCCAGCCTCTAGCGGTCACGATGCATCGTAAGCAAAAACAGCTAGCTTCACCTGTTAATTCCGAGTTGAAGTGTCTTTGCAATAGTGACCGTAGCAGTCCACTGCTTGTTAGCGGCCACTCGTACTAAACCGGACTTCTCTAATTTCCCGTTGGTCGCTATATACATGAGCCATGGCCTCCCGCAAGGCATGCTCTCATTTCCCTTCAATCTTTTTGCAACGAAAGCCGCCAACGCAGCCAGTGATGACGCGTACACTACAGGCCACCTATAGGACCCGTAAAGACATTTGACGAGAGCCCATTATTTAGTTGTTGTGCTACCAGTTGCCAAAGCCTGGGCATACCAGCGGAAACTGCGCGGTAAAGTTCTATGACGATCTTGCTGAGAGTGCCCAGGCAATGCATGTTCTCGCTGCCCTGCACCCGGGCGCCATATTTCTGTTGGTAACATCCCTAACCACAGTGCTCGTAGTAACAGAGTCGTAGTAGGACTAATCGGTAAAGACGAAACCACGCCGAGTTTGCTTTGTGCTGGCCAAAAACCGACGCGAAAGCTTCTCCACCTTCAGCCATGAGGTAGTGATAGAAACGATGCGTATCTATCGTTAGCTAACTGAAAACCGCTCTCTCGGATTCACAATGTTGTATGGGCGAGTCGACGCGAGTGCACTTTTGAAGTGTGTTTGTCTTGAAAGTAGAGGCAGTAGTATTGATCAAAGTGGATACGAGATAGGTTAGTAGGCAACGCAAGTATAATAGTCCAGTGATAACATGAAGACCACGCTCTGCGTTCAATATGATAACAACGTTAGGCGGTTTTGTATCACTGCAGCCTCTGTCATCTGACGTTGCAGTCATTTACGTCGCCTTGAGATGCCGCTACTGGTAACGATCTACTGCCGTTTTGGTAATCTCTGACGATTCAGTCTTGAGGCGCCTAGCTAAACCTCGATGTCTATCTGTGCGGCGGTAACTTTCCATGGTAATTTAATGCGACTGGTTTACTTTCACTCAATTAATCACTGGAAAAACAACACTGTTCCATATATATCTTTAGCTTCGGGAAGGGTTTCTAAGGTAAATAAAGACAAGCATCCTCTTCTCAGTAAATGAAAGGCTACCAACTGCTGACAAAATTTTAAATAGAGGAAATCTATGTAGATTCGATATGTTACTTGGCACTGATCTTTATATTGACGCAACGCTTATTACTTGTGCACGGTTTGTACCCGCTAGGTACGGATCTGCAACGTTCATCGCTATATATATACATATATATATGTATATATTATCGCCAACCTCTCAGTTGAAACATCGATATAGTGGCTTTTCTCAGTTTGTTTTGATGTCGTGGCATTTCATGGGGTCTTAATAGTGACGTCGTGTGATAATCTGCTACTCGTACAAACGTGTGACTGATCCGGTACGTGATCTCTTGAAAACAGGAGCCGAGTTGCTCCACAACTTCATGGGCTGATGCTTCAGTTGAATGTCACGACCTTCAGCTCTGCCTGGCTCTATTGGCAAACCCAAAATCGTGGTCGGGAAGGGACTTATATAAATACACATATTTTTCCCGCATGTATACCGTAATCGACCTCGAACAGTTTCGAATATTTCACAATTGCAACGATCCCATGCACTACAACTATCGTATGCATAATATAATGACTAGTCGCCAGATACGCGAGGACACGTTCGCAAGTGTTGACTGATTGTCTTGATTTAGCAGACGAACTAGCTAGAACAGCGAAATAAACGAGCACCAGTTATTCCAGTGGAGCTTTTCGACTGAACGCATCCTCCCATCTCACTTTCCCTATGTACTCGCTTATCGAGTCTTTTTCATAGTCGCTTCCTGTAGGATTCATAATTTGCGCCAGTGCCTAATTCAAGCGTTCGGCCATCTTTTGTCATTCTGCTTCTAGTCATTTCCTTTTGGAACGCTTCTTCAGATTCTTAAAGCGGATCATCGTCGTCATCTGCACCACCTGTATTGGTTCATTCCCACAAGTGAATACATTGTGCTCCGCAGATGGGCCTACGCCGCCGAAACTCTCACTTTCCAGTTTCGTTGAGGTATGAGTAACGGCGAATAACTTAGAAACAGTAAACCTCAACGAAAAGTAACTGAGCAAGCTTTTTTTTTATAGCTCCATGAGGTATAAGAAAACGATATAGATGGAACAGTAATGAAGGGTACAGGGCTGTTGGTTAGCATGGCGAGAAGCTAAACCGGTACTCGGGGTAAAATGTTGTAAAATCAAATTCACGGTGAAAGATATCTTGGCAAAGGCACGTTGCTCAACGTTGTCACCTGATGACTGCCTAAATAAATATAATATTCTGCAAAACATTACCGAAGCATCATTTGACAAATAAATAAACAAATGAAAAAAAACACCAGAAAGCTCAATTGTAACGATAAGAATTATGTGAAATTCCTACTATCCGAATAGTGGAACTAAGACATACTTACGACATGAGACCCGAAACGTTAACTCAAGATAGTCGTGGCCGTTAAAAAGGAAAGCGCCCTGCACTACCAGCTGATTGTCATAAGGCGGCAGTCATCATAAGGCAAAACAATCTGGCGTCTTTTGAACCCTGTTAAATATGGCCAAGTAGATCGAGCCACTTGAGGGAGGACGGAAACAAAAGAAACGATTCAGGAAATACTGAATTATCAAAATTCGGGCTGTTGCACATTTGGTACTAGGAGCCCCCTGTCGCAGGGGCGAATCATCTAACCAATATGGCGATATTTGGTTATTTTTAGAGGTGCATCCAGAAGCAATTGAGCCCGCTAGTTCGAATTATTATTATCAGTTACATGCATAACTGCAATAACGAAATGTTCTCCATTCAGATCCGCCGCTTCAGTGCCGAACATTATCGCAAAACTCGACCAAGTTCGAAATATTCAATATTTATTTTGCCTTCGAAAACGAGTGACGCCGCCGCCATTTTTTTGGGCTAAAAACGCGTCGGATGAGAAATACTTCTGCGATAGTTCGCTAAAGTTGGACGACTTTTCCTTTATCTCAGATGCAGGATAAAGAGTCAGCTCATTCGTACGCGACGGGCACTTAAGTGTTTTTTAAAGGAAGTTTAGATATAAAACATCTTGGCTTTTGAGGGCATTTCATAGTGGAACAATTAAGCAGCAAGACGAAATAACTACTTGGGTAGCCAAAAATTGTTATGGTGTTGATAAACACTACGTCGAAGCTCTGCTGATCCGCAGTATCATTAAATCGAGCAATGTATTCGATAGTTAAGAGACAGAATAACAGACTAATGTTTACAACTGTGCTTTCCTATGGGCGTGTTTAACCCCCTCTCTGCGCTGACATCTTACATGCTAGTGAAAGTAGTACGAATAAAATATATCATTTTACTTTTGTATGTTTTCGTTAGCTAAATAAGCACCATTTACGAGAATAGGATTTCAACAGCGCTGCCATATCCTAGGTATCGTATAAGGTGGTTAAAAAGCCAATGGCGACCTTCAACTACTGCAAAAGGATGGTTGAGTACCA